AGGGCCAGGTGTATATGTATTTTGCTCGTTAACCAGTGTGACCAACGAAATTAAGTAAAAGCCACTAAACGCCATGAAAATGAACCTTTTATGGCGTTCAAGGCTTTTCTTTGGTTACACTGGACAGCTGTTTGTAAGAAAATTTGTTAATCAAGCCTGCTCCGTTAATCGTAAAATTTTTTCGTTTTCGTTTTGGGCGAAATCGTGTGTTTTCGTTTTTAGCTGGTCCAGTTTTCGGCAAATTTCTGCTATCGTTTTGCTATCGGAATGTTTCGTTTTACCGTTGTTTCTTACGCTGATACAGCTGATTTGTGATTTTGGTCAAAAGTAAACAAATTAAAAAAAATGCCTTTTATATGATCAATTGCGTGTTTTGAAGCCAGGAGGAGGCAAAAATTGCTGCAATTAAGAAAATAAAGACATCTAAGATGTAACATCTGTGGTCGGAGGGCCAATGTCATTCAAGGCGCTGCAGACAGTTCAGTCTACTTCGCCTTTGAAGACACCTTGTCGCCCTTACTAAACCCCTTGGCCAAATCATAAACCCCAGGACGACCTCATCCTGGAAAGTTGATTTGTGCTTTCCCCTGAAAATAATAGCTCTGGGCTTAATTAAAAATAAGCAATCAATATTTGTGTACTTATTTTAAAAAAATGAATTCAACTTAAAACAGCTGTTTTCCACAAGAGCGGGCTGCCATATTTTTTACAGTTTTAATTCATTGGTCTCAATTAATTATTTGGCCAATTTTAACCATTTAAGTAATCAAATTAAATAGCATTATTTCAATTCAATTTCAATTTATTTATTATATTATCCTAGCACAGCAAGTTTACACTTATAATTGTAGCGCTAGTCACAAAGATTTTGAAATTGTATATACTTAATTTTAACACATATGAACTTATATCTATAACGTATTACTACATGCCTTCTAGTTAATAATTATTTTATTCTTACATTACATTTTACTTTAAATATTCTTTTATTTGAGATTTAAACTGAGTTGCGGCCCTAATTGTCTTATATCTATGTGGCAGATTGTTCCACAGACGGATAGCATTAGTAAAGAATTGCCTATTTGAGCACAGCGAATTATATCTTGGGCATATATAATTATTCGTTCTAGTTGAGGTAGCAGATTTGAGTTTGTCAAACAAGTATGTTGGTTCTTGGGATATCACAATTTTGTGGAAATATAATAGAGTCCTATAGCGAATTGATTTACTAGGATTTATACACAAGCCATTACTGTTTGCCCACTTATAAATTACATTAAGCATATTATTACTTACACTAACACAAACATTTAACTGCCTAATGGGACTGCTAACATATATTTTCACATCGTCTGCATACAAGTGGACTTCACAATCAGACAAGAGACTGGGCAAATCATTCACATACATGGAAAACAATAATGGACCCAAGACTGATCCTTGAGGAACACCACGTGAGAGTTGGCAAAAGTCGGAAGTCCTAGCACCTACAACCACTGCTTGTAGCCTATCACAAAGATAGGATTCTATAAATCGAAGTGCAGTACACGAGAAATTAAAGTGGTTTTTTAGTTTTGTACTTAAGATATGGTGATTGACAGAGTCAAATGCTTTACTATGGTCAAGAAGGGTCAAAAAAGTCACACAATTATTGTCAAGTTTTTGTCGAATGTCTTCCACGATATTTGTTATTGCACTCACACAACTTCTCATTTTCCGAAAACCCGACTGCTTTGGTGAAAGTAACGAATTCCTTCCAAGGAACTTCTGAATTTGTTGGGACATTAGGTTTTAAGCACTTTGGCTAGAAAAGGAAGGATTGAAATTGGCCTATAGTCTTTATTGGGTTTTAGCACTGGGATTATTTTAGCTATTTTCCAAGATGATGGGAATGTGGAGGTAGTAATTGCAGAATTGTAAATATGTGTAATATGTGGGAGAAGTAAGGGCAACATTATTTTTATAAATTTAGGATTGACATTGTCTAAGCCTTCCGCATTAGACTTTATCTTGAGTATGCTCTCCAAGACATCACATTGATCAACACACACAAAGCTAAAACTATTATCACAGTGAATTATATTATTAAGGTACTGGTTAGATGTAGCTTCAAGCACATCAATTTGCGAGAACGATCGACATAATTTTTCAACATCGACGTTGCTATCGACGCTCTGCTTAACCCTCCCTATTCCTACTTTACTTAATTCTCGCCAAGTTTGTTTACCAGTAAGTTGAGTGTTAAATTTGGACTTGAAGTGTTCACATTTAGCAGCCCTAATATTTTTGGTAACAAGAGATCTTGCTTCCTTGTACTGCATACAAAAATTATGGGTTTTGTATCGCTTCCACCTAAAATAGGCAACATCCCTCTGATTTATAAGTTTTTTTATTTCGTTGTTAAACCAAGGATTTTGCCTCTGTTTAGACACCCTAGTCTTGACTGGTACGCATTTATTAAAAATATAGCCTAGATTATTGTTTAGAACATTCAATTGAGACTCTACAGTAGAACATTGATATATGGGACACCAATCACATGCATTATATTGGAGCTGAAGGTCTGTATAATTAATATTCTTAAAGTCTCTATAGCTAAAAGATTCTTCAGTATCGTCCAAAGTTATATCATAGGTTATAAAAATTAGGTCATGTCTGGAGAAAACTGGTACGGAGACCTGGTCATATAGTAATATCTTTCTAGGGTCATTAATGAAAAAAAGGTCAAGAAGAGTATCACAGTTGTTGCTAAAATGTGTAGGTGTAATTTTATTGGCAGCATACAGCCCCAACGCTTCAAAGCTATCTAATAAGTGACATTCGCTTAGAATATTACTATTAAAGTCTCCAGCTAGAATGACGTCATCATATGAAGCTGATAATTCGCTAATAGTTTCCATAAGGGGATCAAAGTCTATTGTGCGATTTGGACGATATATACAACCAATTAGCACTTTGTTGTGGAGAAATTTGTTGGCTACTTCTAAAAAAATATATTCAATTTTGCTGTCAATTGGTTGCCAACATTTGACCCGACAGTTAAAGATACGTTTAACATATATAGCGACACCACCAGCATGACCAACACGATCTGAACGAAACAAAACATAACCCTCACAATCAATCAAAATATTAGACAAATCAGACGTAAACCAGGTCTCAGATACACAGATAACATCAACATTAGACTGGACAAAAAGTAACCTGAACTCGTCAATTTTTTTTAAATAGGCTCTGTGCATTTATATGAACAACTTTTATACCCCTTTTATAATTAGATAAAACTCGAATCATGCTACCCGTCATAGAGACCCTCATATTATCCGTCACTGACATAGTAATAAAATTCTAGAATCGCAGACTCAGTTTTACAAAATACATAGAAAAATAAACAATAATGACAAAAATTTTGAAGACAATTACCAATTTTAAAATTAATCTTAGAAACTAAACTGACATAGAATAAATAACTAAATTTAAGAGCGAAAGCTCTCCGAACCAGCAGGTTGGTCATCAAGGCCATCATTCGGCTGAAGAGCGGGCGAAGAGGAGAGAGTAAGAGCAGAAAGAGATCCACTGTCATTATCAGCTAGTCTCAAAAGCTCATCTATGTGTTCGATGCATCGTATACTCTCACTTCCTTTGCAGCGGACATGGACAAGTCCACGGCGAGTGAATACGGCATTTAAGACCTTGTGCTTTTTTAGTCTCATTGCCTCTTTAAATATCTGGTATTGTTCTCTTTGAAGTTGCTCATTTATGTAAATTGGCGCATCAGAATCACAAACTTTAAGCTTAGTTGTGATTTTGATTCACGCCGATAAGCTGCCGTAGATCGTAGCAGCATGACTTTCTCACGCGCGTTTTCCATTTTAATAATGATGACCGGGTCCACCTTACTTTTCTGCGACTTACGGGCCCGGAAAATGTCCCGAACTCGAGGCGGAGGAGTGATGTGAAGTGAGAAGCATAGAGTGTTAAATAAAGTGCGTAAGTTCTCGCCTTCTGAGTGGGGCACGCCATGCATGCGTAAGTCAAACGCATTGTTGGCTAAATTTTGTGCAGCCAGCTTAGCCTCTACAGTGCCCACTCTCTCTCTCATCGCACGCATATCCGCGACCTCCCGGTGCAAGTGTTCTACACGCGCACACAGCTGTTCCCGTTGCGAGCGTAGATCAGCTACCTCCCGCTCCAGATTAGAGACCCGCACGCCCGTCTGCTTAACCTCACCCGCTATGGAATCCAGACGTTCCGAGAGGGTACTGAGTATACGCATCTCAGCTTTCCTCACTAGACCAGCAATTGCTTCAGTCTGCTCCTGGAACCGTATCTTGATGAGCTCCAGCATTTGCGGCGAGGGGGCATCGGAGAGACGCTCAGCGGCTCCAGTGTCCTTCCTTAAGCGTTTGTTGGACGTCGACGACATATTTTGTTAAGTGCCTGAGATTTTTGGCAGTGTAAGGTTCTTGTTGTATTGGTGTAGTGTGTTTATTTATGTCAGTGTAAAGTGGTGTGGGCAGCAAACGCCAAAAAACTTTTCAGCTTGTTTGCAGTTGGAGACTTTCACACACACACAGGCACAGCGTTGTTTACTGGCGTTATTTAATTTGGCAATAAAGCACAACATAAAGCAACAACATTTTTGGCGCTCCTTTAAATTCATTAATGTATTCATATTTTGCACTTTTAATCGGAATGGGCTAGAGGACTATCGATATATCGATAAGGGTAGGATCTTTAGGACCAGGGGGGCAGGCATTTGAATGAGCGAACCGGGAATATGTAACGGGCTTGGATAAGGGGATTGAAGAGAAAGGGTTTTTACCCTTGGCCTCGGCCGTTGCACTGAGGAAAGAACTGTTCCTAGATAGGGATAGACAGCATGGGAAACGGCAGTAGCAACGAGAGGTCGATATAAAACGCAGCTAATATCCTGAAAAATAGGAATTAACGCAAGAACGTGGGTGTAAGTGGTGAAAGTAAAAAAAAAAAATGTTTCATTTAATGGATGTGTAATTTCAGCGTGGCAGTGATACAATCGCTGGCCACGCCATCCTTTATTTGGAAATTGTGTGTAAAGCTCACCCGCCGCCGACGTTACTGGGCGGATGTTTCTGGAGAGGAGCGAGCGAAGATATTCAACGAGCCTCTAAGCAGCCGTTGCCTAAGCCTTTCATATGGCTAACCTGGAGTCCGGTGAGTCCATTCCATGAGGCGCCGTCTGGAACCGGCAGGATTTACGAATATTGGGGGCATTTATTCGCTCCATTGACCGAAAACGACGTGGCCGTGGCTTTGTACTCCCCACTTTCATCGGGCTCGCCGCCGCCATCAGGTGCTGCGATTTCTGGCCGCGCATACTAGCGAAGCCTCATCGCCATTGCGGGTCGCCGATCTTGCCTTATAGTTGCTGCGATAGGATAAATTATTTATTGTAAAGTTGTTTTTGTTTGGCTTATTCATGTATTATTTATTATTCATATTGTTTCGATGCTCTTGTTCTCTTGTTCTTTATGATGTATGAAGAGTAACCAAGATGAACATGGAGTAAACGTATTTACCTGGGGAGATGGGCCGGCCGTCAGGACTCCTGGATTAGACTCCGGTCCGCCGGAGATGGATGATGCCCCAAGACACACCTGAAGCCTTTCCCTTCCAAGAAAAGTCGACAATTTTGTTTGTTAACGTTTCTGTGTTAGATATGTGTTTTTGTCAGTGAGGAGTTTTTCTGAGACGTCCGATTAATCGGTGTTTCATCGTGCCGGCTGCGGGCATAGGGTCGTACCCCAGCCCCCCCTGGGCATCCACTGAGCTAGCCCGGCGTGGCCCATAACAAAATGCAGTTCCATTACACTTTTATATTTTATAAGGATTTTTAACTGGCTGTTTCGTTCCACCAACAGTATGGCAACCGTGGCGATAACTTCTCGCAATGGACTTATCAACCTATCGCTAAAACGATAAAACTTGTTGAACACGGCAAACATTTTGTTGTCAAATCTGGGGTGGGGTCAGAAATAATTTTTTTTATAAAATAACTACGTGCCGGAATGATCTAGTGGTGGTGTGAAATAAACATCAATAGACCACACTAAACTATTGTTTTCCTTTTTTCAATAAGATCTGATTTCATATAAAAAAAAACCATTTACTTTTCATTCCGGCCAGAAAGAGGTGCTCGTTTTTCAAATCGAAAAAATAGGTATAGGCTTCCCCAATCTATAAAATAAAGTAGGGATTGCAAATAAGAGTTATGAAAAAGTAAATATTGACAGTTAACTTTTATTTTGAAATTTGAAAATAACTATTGAAAATAACTTTTATTAAAAAAATGGAAAATAAAAATTAAATTGCAATAACTTTTTAACTGAGCGACCTATTTTAAAGATTGGCAGGTCCCGTTTGTTAGAATCGAGGGTTCTGCGAACTCTACCGCTTCCACCACATTTTGATATGGCAGACTGCAGGTTTCCTCTATAAGGGTTTCTTCCTATTTTTGATCCAAGAGGTTCGTGTTTACTACGGACGCTTCCGCCAGTTGGCAGACCCTAGTGATTTCGTCGACCTGCTTTAGTAGTATCACTGCTTTCTGCATTAGTATGGTCGCCAGATGGACCTCTCCATCGATAGAGTTCACTCTTGCCATCATAACATCAAGCTTCTGTAGTGAGTTGTGCGTAGCGTCAAACAATCTCGCTTTAATTCGTATCTGTTGGTTGTTATTCTGGCTTACGTTTTCCTACGACTGAAAGATGGTATTCCAGTCCGATGCGTCGGGGGATCCGGCAACCCATTTCCAGGCCGATCCCAGCCAGTCTATGGATCGAGGCGCGCGGTGTGCCGATGTCATTCTCTTAATGCCATCGGTGGCTTTCTCCAGATAGTGGAATATTAGCGACGCACCTCTGGCGTCGGTGATTACCGATGTTTCTTCTGTGGTCTTGTCTATTATGTTCTGTATCTGTCTTAGGTCCATTACGTGGGCGAGCTTAAATACCCCGTTCACACGCCATACCACGCCGTGCTGAAGTGGGACGACCGGCGTGTCATATTTGAAGATGTGAAGGGCGGTTGCGACTTGAATAATCGGCGTACTTGTGAGAGAGATGTTATTCAATTTTTATTTAGTATTTACTCTTGATGTACTAATTTATATTTTTGGTAAATGTTATTCCTTAGTTAATTATTTTTATATATTTTTTATTTGTTTTGTGTACTTAATGTAACTGTAGTTTTTTATTTGTTTATATAATTTTTTGATTTTTTTTTTTTTTTTTTCTCTTTTTGCTTTTAGGGTATTTTTTTACTTGTTTATTTATTTTTATATTTTTTATATATTTTTATATTTTTATTTTAATTTTTTTTTTATACATTATTTTATATTTTTTTCAAGACCCAAAAATTTTTTGTCTTTATTGTTACAATTTTTAATTATTGTTTCAATTTGTGAAGCGCTTTCAGCGAGGCGGTCTCTAACTTTTTATATGAGACTTATGACAAGTTTTTCCTGATTTAGTCCTGACCGTGTCCCTACCATTATCCTCTACTTCTTCTGGTTTGAATCGATGTTTATCCTTGCTCTTGATCCGCTTATTGGAGACATAGACAGTGTCCCTCTGACTGTATTGCAGGGGCTGTGTCCTGCTTTTATTAAGCCTATCGGTTGACATTTTTTGTTTATGTAGGAGTAGCCCTCTTATGTCTTCCTCTGTCTGTTCTTTAAAATTGGTGAGCCCCTGATGGTTTATTCTTGAAGTTCTATCGAAGAATATATCGACCGGTTTACGGTTTGTCACCGAATGGACAGAGTTATTATATTTGTCTACGGCAATAAAAACCAATTCGGTTGCTTTTAGGCTACTGTTGTCGTTTTTCAAACATCGGTATATCTCAAGGAAGGTTGAGTGAAATCTTTCAACCTGGCCATTCACTTCACTCTTCTGAGAAGGCGTGTAATAGACAGTAATTCCGAGAAATTGTAAGTAATTTAGTATGGTGGGGCAGAGCAAGCCCCTTTCGTTGTCTGAGACTATTGTTTCTGGTGCGGTGAAATATTGTAAGACTTCGGTCAGTCGCTCGCGGAGATGGACGATTCTATCGGAAAAAGTTTGGCAAATTTTGAGAATTTAACGATGCAACTCAGGAATTTGAGGTTTTCGATCGTAAAAAGGTCAATGTGCAGGATTTCACATGGGTAACTAGGGATAGGGGTGACCTGTAGTTTCGGCCTAGCAGGGTGCCTATCATAATTAAACATTTTGCAGGCCTGGCAAGAAGAGACCAATGACCTTATGCGGCTGGCCATTCTGGGGAAATACAATTTTTCTAGGATCTGTAACTTCATCTCCTTTGGATTCCTGTGGGCCCTAGAATGCTTCACCTTTGCGTAATGCGAAGTTTGTACCCGGGGAAGTTCTCTCGGCAGCACTCTTGTAGGGACTGTAAGTAATTCTCGAGAATCTTTATGCAGTTATCACTGATGGCTTCAAGAATTTCATTAAAGAGGGCAGAAAATTTTGTGTGGAATCAATGGGAATCAAGTGACGCACGTAACCTGTATGTGGGGTTTCGCAAGAGCTTGCATCCCTTGACTATCTGGGGGCTAATATAGTTCTTATTCGCTCCTGTATCTATTGAAACTGTAGGCTTGCCCCGTCTTTCGCGCCATATTCTATGTATGGAACGCTAGAGTGGCGTCGGCCATAAAATTTACTGAGCTAGTATTACCAGCCTCCACGTGAGGTTGGTGACTAACTTGATTTTCTGGTAAGGCTTAATCATAGTAACCTTCGCCGGCGGATTCTTTCTCATGCTGGTTCGAAACTGCCTCAGCCGAGGACGGAGCAGCATTTAGTTGATACAAACTTTGGGATTTGCGAAATGGGTTGAGGTTAGAGGAACCGCTAGGGCTGCGTTTAACACCCGAATTATTGTTACTTTGGTTTGAGCGATAGGAGTGCCCGGACTGGTGGGGCTCCATTTTGATCGCTCGGGGATTGGAATATCTTTGTGGGGACTGGGAATTTCTGCCTGCGTCCTGATATTGGTATTGATTATTATAAGAGGAATAGTTAGGTTGGGTCCAAAAGTACTTTTGACGGTAAGGCTGAGATGGTAGAGACCTATTAGAGTAGTTGACATGATTCATCGAGTTCAGATTCCGCAATTCTAAACAGATGGCATAGGCCTCTGGCAAAATTTTCGGGCTGCGAATTACTAGTAGCTTAGAGAGGTCACCGCTTAAGCCTCTGATAAAAACATCCAAGGCTCTGTCCCTATAAGTTTCGACGAGCGCACCTAGGATTTCCGGGCTTTGATTATGATTTTTTAGGCAGCGTATTATCAGGGCAAATTGAGAATTTATTCTTGAGTAATAGGCCTCCACGGTTTTCGCCCCTTGAGTCATCTGACCCATTTGGTACTTTAAGGTGCGCAGATCTCTCTTATCGGCGTAGTGGAGCGCTAGGACGCGTTTAATATCGGGCCAATCATCGTCTGCCGCGTTGTACGACATAAGTGTCGTTTCGGCATTACCCCTAATTTTCTGTCTAACGCTAACGACTATGGAACGGTAAAGTGGTCTTTCTTTAATTATTTCATAATCTTTTAGAATTGTCTCCGCTCTACCCATCCAGGAGTCGTAGGTACCCGCTTCTCCCTCAAAGTCCTGCAATTCTTTTACGCAGTCCGGTAACCTAGCAATTTCTTTTAACTCATATTCCGTGCGGGCGGCAATCAAGGGCTGCGGTCGGGGAGTATCTTCGGTAACCCTTTCCCGAACCTCCTCTAGGCGTACTACTTTGTCGCTAACCTTTTTAATATCATTTTTAACATCGGCCATCTGGTCAAGTAACAAGGTCAGAGTAGTCTCAAACTTGGTAAGAGCTGCTCTCATTTCTTCCATTTTAGTTAGTTAATTCAACCAGATTTTATTTTGATCAAGGCAATTATAGAGTGACGGTCAGGTTTTTTTATTGAATATAAATCGGGAGTTAATTAGTCTTTTGGTAGCTTCGCTGAGGACGGCTCACTTACCCGTGGTGTAACTCCTTAATTTTTTATTTGTTTTAATTTCGTATTATCTTCGTGAGTGTTAGTGCCAGGCCACTTACAACGTGCAGATTCTAAGGGTAAAAAACGACTTTAGTGTGATGTAGTTACAATTATTTGGTAGGGCAGGCGGGAAGTGATTTTTTGTGCGTATGTGCGATTTGTATTATTTTGTTTCGTGAGGGTTTTTTTTCACATTCTTTTTTTTAATTAATTTTTTTTTTTTTTATTTGGTGAATTCTTGTACTGTCCTCTTGCAATCTCCTTGCATTCCTTCATCCGGTGTTAGGCACGGTGGGCCGTATTGTTCCTTTTTGGTTTAACACCTACTAGGGTACGGTTGCCACACAATCCACTAGGCGGCACTTTCAGTGCTGGTAACACCTGGCGTATCTAGTGGATTATCCACACCACTTTTTACTTTATAAATTTTTCTGTTATAGCACAGGCCGCTCGTAACGAGTTACCGCAGCGGTTATCAAGATTAATATTTTGTATGTTTGCAACGCATTATATTGCCCGTGAATTGGAACCACCGCGGCGGTTTGGTCGCTTCTTTCATTTTACAATAACCTTTTGCGCTCGTGAATAAGCCGGGAGGTCAGATCACTGCAGCGGGTCGGTCATATCATCTTTATAAGACTTTTCTATTAATTATTTCA